AAAAAAAAAAAAAAAATAGTGCTTGACACCTTACACATTATCATAATAAATGTATTCTGTCTTGTCCAATCTTTGGTTTTTACATACTTTGGTAATGCTTAATCATGTCGCTGATACAGGGAAAAGTGATCCGTGGAGAGATGTAATAACCCCCATTGTCCAGACTTCTGATTTTGTAGTGCTTAATGACATCACCGTGCACCGGGTCATAGTCTCTGACAGACAGAGAGAAGCTTCCTGTCAGGAGAAAAGTGTAAGTAAAGTATACATTCACATTAGACAAACAAAATGTGCATTAGACAATGCTGCTGTATACATTTTACCATAAAAATATATAAAATATAAATTATGCATATAATGGGTAATTTTTAAGCCCTATGAAAATTCTACTTGACAAATGAAACTAGCATTTTGTTTACTGAGTAGGTTGCCAATATACCATTTTCTTTCTTCGTGATTATTTTTAAAAATTATTATTTAGCTGAATTAAGAGGTTACTTTGATTTTCTTTCTCTTTAAATTTCAGTATTTTCTCTAAACAATAAGACCAGAGGCTCAACAAACATAAACAATAGTGAGGACTGGCCATAACTGCCTGCTCTCTATGTAACTTAAAAGCAAAAGTTATCATTTCAGCTTATTTGCTATCACACTATGAAACTTTTACTACCAGAACAAGTGTGTAGTATAGCCTTCTTTTTATTTTTGAGTAATTCTACAATAGTTTCTAAAAATGCTTTCCTAGTGTTTTGTAAGAGGACTTAAAACACATCCCACCTTTTAACGTTTCACTTTCTCTGATAAGAAAGGACCCAGCACTGTTTCCTGGAGCCAGGAGCTGCCTTTCTGCATCCTTCCTGGTTATATCCTTGAAAAACCACCTGTCAAAAGACAATTTAACATTTCATGAATATCAAGTTCCCCAGCACGATGAAAACGAAAATATCAACAAGAAGCCCCTTGAAGTAAACAAAACCCCTGGAGAGGACGGCGTGTGAGGACTCACTCTTCCGTCTCCAAGGTGTTGACTTTGGCCACGTAGTTGCTGGGGATGAAGCCTTCTCTCTTGGTTGAAAGGGACTTAGCTTTCCACCATTCTCCATGCCTGGAAAAGAAACATACATCAAAAATAAACCAAAGGAAATAACTGGCTGGGGTGGTACCTACCTGGAGTCCTACCTACTGGGAAGGCTGAAGTAGGAGGATCGCACTCCCAGCCGGGGCGACAGAGAGAGACCCCCATCTCCAAAAACAAACAAAATTAAAAAGAAGCAAAAGATATCAAATATGCCCATAAATATGTACAAATATAGTATATCGATAAAAAATAAATTTAAAGTGACACAGTATTTCTAATTCTACAGAAAAACCAAAACATATGTTCACACAAAAACTTGTAGATGAACATTCAAAGCAGCGTTATCTGTAAAAGCTAAAGGTGTAAATGGCCCAAATGTCTACCAACTAATGAATGAGTAAACAAAATCTAGCCCATCCATTTGGTGGAATATTAAAGGAATGAAGTACTAATACACACTACGACATGAATGAATTTTAAAAACAATTATGGTAAATGAAAGAAGCCAGTCAAACAAGATGACTGCATGATTCTATTTAGATGAAATGTCCAGAACAGGTCAATTTCTAGAGATAAATAGCAGATTAGTGGTTTCCTAGAGCTGGAGAGAATGGAGGGGTTGGGGGCAATGGTTAAGGGATGCCGGGTTTTAAAATGGTTCATGGTGATGGTCACACAGTTCTGTGAATACCCTAAAACTGCAAAGGAATTGCATGCTTTAAATTGGGTGGTACCATTAATTCTCAATAAGGCTGTTAAAAAAGAGAAAAAGCTTTTAGAGAGGTTTTGAACACAGAGAAATGATAGATTTCAAGGTGCTGACACATGGTAGAAATGCATCAAAATATCACCCTGTGTCCCAGAGAGATGTATAGTTATTATATGTTCACTAACAATAAGAGGGGAAAAGTGTTTACATCCAAAACTCAAGGGCTGCAAAAGCAAATTTTTTAAGGTACTTGTTTTGGGGGTGGGGTGAGGGAAAGTGAGGAATATCCCTGGGACCCCAGCATTCAGTGGGAAAATTCACTCCTCTCAATGGAATAAAAATACGTTTAGAGACTAAAGCAAAGGCCAACAGCCTTACAACCAAAGTGGGAGGTCACTGTGTTCAGTGCTGCCAGAGAAGAGTTGGTAAAAGTGACTCCCATCTTGCAGACGCAAAACGTCTATATCTTCCCCCAGTATAGCTAAGAAATTCTTTAGGACCTTCATGGAAATGAGAGTCGTAGTTCTTGTGTTATATACTCCTTTGTTCAAACATCTAGTAACCATAGAGATGGAAGCCATGAGGAAAAGGAAAGAAAACCATAAAGAGAATTCCCAGCAGGTAGGTCACCACCAGCTCACCCTTGGCCAGGAGCAGCCCTGGAGCCTGGGAGGGGCCAAGGAGCTGGTGAGGAGGAAGAAATGGGTCCCTAACCCTGAGAACTTCACTGTGTTCCTCTGTGAGTTCTATAAGCTGATGAGGTCCCGTTTGCAACAGACCAGGGATAGTGAAAGCTACCACAAGCTCTGTGTCCCTGCTGTGAGCACACACACTACAGGGATGGTCAAGCTACCACTAGGCTCTGCCGCTCTGTGTCCGTGCTGTGAGCACACACACTACAGGGATGGTCAAGCTACCACTAGGCTCTGCCGCTCTGTGTCCCTGCTGTGAGCACACACACTACAGGGATGGTCAAGCTACCACCAGGCTCTGCCGCTCTGTGTCCGTGCTGTGAGCACACACTCTACAGGGACGGCCAAGCTAACACCAGGCTCTGCCCGCTCTGTGTCCGTGCTGTGAGCACATACACTACGGGGACAGCCAAGCTACCACCAGGCTCTGCCCGCTCTGTGTCCGTGCTGTGATCACACACTCTAGGGGGACGGCCAAGCTACCACCAGGCTCTGCCCGCTCTGTGAGCACACATGCTACACACTCGTGCCCACTGCTGTTCCCAGTTTATAATTAAAGAAACCATGGTACAGAGAAGGGGCCTGAACAGTCACACAACCATCATGTGGCAGAGCCAGGATTAAGCTGGGGTCAGTCCATAAGCAGCACTCTGGTCTCTCAGCCACAGGACACCTTACCCTTACTTAGTGGGTCTCCCTCCTCTCATCCTTTTTGGCTGGCCAGGGTGACAGACACTTCATGCAGGATTAGTAGAAGAAGCAAGCTAGAAGGAAAAACTTTGGAGTTCCTTATTCTTAGTACTGTCCTTTGCCCTGTGGTCTTTCAGGGGCAGGGGTGGAGGAAATGATATGGCCAGTGTCTGCACAGAAGTGTGGCCGCCTGGGCTTTTCCAACACGGCTGTGTTAGGACAGTATTCTTGGAAATCTAACCAAGGTGGGCCCATAAACCCAGCATGAATCTGAGTGAAATAATAAAATTAAAATGTCACAGATGCCACACAGACTCAGACGTCTTAACGTTGGCAAGGCTGGAGAAAGAATGAACAGGCATTGTTCTGCACCTTGTGGATCGTGAACAGTGCTCATGGCTGGAAGCCTCCTTTGGGCCTCCTCCTTCCACTGCCCCAGCCACAGTGCAGCAAGGAGGCTAGGAGGCTGCACTGGCTGTGGGGGAGGCTAGGAGGCTGCACTGGCTGTGGGG